GCCATATCCGCACGGCGTTCAGCTATGGTGGCTTGAAATTCTTCTTCTATTTGACGCTGTCTACCCAAGGTACTTACCTCCTGCCTCTCGCCTCTCGGCCCCTGCCTCCTCTTGCCTCTTGCCTCTTCTTACCTCCTACCTCCTGTCTCTTGCTTCTTACCTCTTCTTACCTCTACCGCTTGTCTCTTGCCTCCTTTTGGCTCCTCCTGCCTCCTCCTGCCTTCCGCTCTGTACCTAACCGAATGCTTTCCTGATGGGGGACGCCGTCTAGTTCGAGGGATATATAAACACGTCTCCCCTCCCAAGACTCTTCTTCTATCTCTCTTCTTCTTCAACACCAGACTATCATGTCAAGCACAGTCCCTCTCTCCCTTCCCCATCTTTTTAACCATCCATGTTTGCTTGTCTTATGTTTGAGACTCAGAATGTAGACCTGCGAGGGTCAATGATCATCACTGTCCCTCTCAATGGCCGCTAGTCTTGTGAGCCACCTTTTCAATGGTGGTCCCACACCAAATTTTGAGCCAAGATAAATTTCGCTTGCTCAGCACCGACCCGTTCATGGAGGCGCGGCGGTGCACTGTGGTATCGGAGGGTTGGGCCGTCGAGCCACCCCACGACGATCACCACGCGAGCAAGGCTTCGGCAACCCGATACATTTTCCCACGCCATCATCTGTAAGATTTCCTAAGTGATATCAATTCCTGTAAGGTGTGATTCTCCCCCGTGCAAAGTTGTAGGCTCAGTATTCTTCTGCAAGTCATGCCAGTAATGCCAGGCAAAGTGGCACACGGTCCCGTGTATGTGAAGATTTCATCATTGCCCGAGTGATTGTGTATGGTTGCCCCAGGTGTATGCAAAGCAAGCAGGCACATATGCAGGCACTGCCTCTCAGGATTCCGATCTGTACTTTTCCGGGGAAGGGGGGGGCGGGGGGCGGTCGCAAGGCCTTTCGCGAAGAAAGCAGAAAAAGTGGTCGAGAAAACAGAAGCAAAGATGAAGATGAAGACAATGATGACGAGACAGAAGGGACGATGGCAGCGTATCTCGAGGTTTCTTTCCATAGCTATGGCCGCATTCGAGAGAAAAAACAACGAGTCGATGAGGTGAAAATGATCGAGGCTGCACTTGGGGCCGTCAGGCAACTCCCAGGAAGAGTCCACTTACAAGCCTCCCATTCCTGCTTTCCATCTTCGGTGTCAACATGACACAGGGTCGGAGCAGATAGAAGGCAGCAGAATGTGCTGTAATCAAAATGACCCTTCTCCTCGGGGGTGGGAGCAGGCTTCTTGAAAGCTGGATGGTTCTCCTTAGCGCCACTTTTCGGCCTCCGGCGGGCTATGGGTCTTTCTAGGGGAAACCGGTGTCCTGCTCCTTCTCCGAATGAATCTGCCTTGATCTTCTCATTTCAAAGCGGCAAGGAGTCCGATGTAGCATGGGAAAGGGCTGTTGCGTTCACCTCGTCGATGGGGATGGTCTGGAAGAAGACTCTCTATGTCGAAGATTGCCCCAAGGGAACGCGAGAAAAGGGAGAAAGGGGGAAAACAGAGGGAGGGGAAAGAAAGGATTTGATGGACAGTCATGTAAGGTCGCCTGAGATTACAAAAGGAAGGTTCATGTGAAAGTCGGGTTGGCTGGCTGCCTATCGAGGTGTCCCGACCTCCAGGGTGCGAGGGCGCGTGGGGCCTGTCCGGCTCCACCCTGGTTTACCCTTGTCAGGTGCCTGCGAGCCAATAAGCGGACCGGTCGTAGACGACAGGCGAAGAATGGAGATGAAGATGTTCTCCTGTACGCCTATGCTACATTTTGTATGTGATTCTTTGAAATGGCAACTTGATGTTACTCACATCACCGGCACCATGCTGCTTTTATTTCTTCATTTGATTCATAACGGAGATATCTGTCTGTAGAACGATCACCAAGGCTTTCTCCCAAGTACTGCTTAGTCTAGGTATACGTCGGTAGCTGAGCCATCTTTGTCAACATGATTTTCGAGAATTTGTCAAATAAGAGAAGGTACGCTGTGGAATCCGGCTGAGTTTAGGTCTTGAAAATAGTGATTCTGGTCTGGAGCCTCAACGTGTAACGGGCTCATTCAACAATGAGGACTCATCCCACTTACTTCTCACTGAGGCTTCTCTCATTGAGATAAGATAGATACGTGGACTACCTATTGGCTTTTCCACATTATCTGTTCTGTGTATGACTCCTCAATTGATCTCATGTGATGGCACGGATGATCAAGTCAAGCATGTACCTTGGCAGCTGTATATCCTTCATGTGTGTGGCGAAAGCCATCATAACCCCAAGCCGTTGTGACGGGCTACCACTCAGGTGACTGAACATGTATTGAAGTAGTCAGATGCAGATTCAGGTACGGTATCTTCTGAGTCCTAACCTGTTTGAGGGTAAAAGGGGGTAAGACTTAGGTAAGAAAAGGGGGAAGTCATCATCAAGCAAAGGGAAAGTTAAGCAAGCAGTGAACATGGAATGAAAAGGGTAAATGAAATTTCACTTAACTCATCAAGTTAATAATGGGTACGTATAGCGAAGAAAAGGAAAAACTTTAGTGAGACGATTGAAGCCGCACTCGAAGGCCTGAATCACCACTCAGCAACCTGGATAGCCAAACCGCCACCACACCGCCCACCGCCCACCGCCCGCCCATCGACCCTTTATCTACAACTTCCTCTCCCTCACTTTTACCTGCCCCGGGGACGCCCGGGAACGCCTTAGCCTAGCGGTAAAATACCGAGCAGAAAATTCCCCTAGGGGGGTGGGGTTTTCATAGGGCCAGTGTTCAACACCCTGAGCCCGAACTTTTAGGAGAAATTTTCTAGAGATCTTTTTTGCTCGTTGCTTGTATTTAATCATTCGATGTTGATTCATGCTAACTAAGACTGAGTGCTTATAGAGTTCTTTTCTGTGTTTTGAGGCGAATGTGGTGATGATGGTTGGTTGAACGGTTCATGAAGAGGTTCACTTACTTTCTCTCATTCCGAGGCTTCCTTCTGGGTGTTTACGTATACAATATGGCGGGGAGGTATAAGTCTGGAGGGGTGGAAAGAGCCATAGACTCACGGTGTCGATGAGAAACATCCTACCTATTTCTTGCCTCAGATGGCACCGCGTTTCATTCCTACGTAGCATAGGAGAAGCACATGGGAAGCACATGGCGATGATCTTGTGAGAAAGACTCTCCATCTCAATGTCGTAGGCCGCCCAACGGTAGTTTCACTATCGATTCCATGTTTCCATGGGCTTCTCTATACTGAAGTAAGAGAGAGAGATGCTCTGTCCATAGTGCCATCGCATCCGACGCGTTGGCCCGACAGACTGCTCACCGTGCGGGCCGGCCATCTTTTGATCATCTTCCTGGTCAGGTTTTCAGGAAATATCTCAAAGTATTTCTAGATACCTCTGGAATACCTTTCATGGCTAGGATCTCTCAACTTCTAGCACAGAATCCCAGACGATATTTATCTCCAGATTGCTGTAGATTCCGATGCTATTGGCCTCAAGGTCGACATATCAGATATCTGTAATCACGGCAATCCACCCGAACACTATTCAAAGAAGAGCTGTATAGAGCATAATTAGTATAAGAATATACAATATAATCCGCAAGACGAAGAAGCAAACCTGCAGACATCAAGTGCCACAGTTAGGCCAGGCCCCTGAGCCTGGCAATACTTTCTAGACCCTCTGAGAATTGAACTGCAGGGACATTGAATGCTCTTACATTTGGAGGACTCTGGTACAATTACTTGGTATGATTGGATTCGAAATGCAAGCCCTCATTTCTGCAAACTGTCTTTTCTGAGGCTGCCGTCTGCTCGTCAGCCCCACGATTACGGCACCTCTGGCATGTTCCTGCACCATGCCTGAACGATGACGACGAAACCGCAACTCCTAGTTCATTCTAAAGCTCAAAGTCTCGTCGTTGATACTTGAGTACACCAGAGTCTACCTGAGACGTGCGTTTGTCACCCAGCCGTGCAATTCGAGGTACCGTGAAGGCAGTACTGGCCCTGGGTTATACGTAAACAGACACGGCGACAGGAAGCACGGTGTGAACCAGCTACTTACCTACGACTCGCCGTTCATCTCATCCCAAACTAAGCCTTTCTTTTCACGCAGTCCACCCCGCCTCAACATTTCGTACTCCTCCACATCGATCCCTCACGTCACCTACCTCAACCAACCCACAAAAAGCAGCATCAACAAAAAGCAAAAACATACAACACTAGGTATTCGCTGGTCGTCACCGACCTAACTACTAATCCGGCCCTCACTGCAATCATCTAGATGGAACCGGAACAGCTTACTTCGTGATGGCTTCGGCAACCTAAAGTAGTGGGTACCGTTCCTCGAAACGGACAATGCGGAACATCATGTGGCCGAAGACATACCGTTTTGGACGGTAAATTGGATATTAGCCCGTCAGACGCTCGGTAACTTAGAGTACTCTAAGGCGTGCGAATAGAACTCCCGCATGCCGTCGGACAGCCAGACTTCAACAACTTCATGCCGTAGCGCTTCCCAGGTTGGAATCTGGGTACCCCGCTCCACATGTGCTCCTTAGGCTTCATCCAGCATTAATAACCTGCTTCCGGTGTGCTTAGTAAGGAAGTGCGCTAGAAGCCGTCAGATTGAACGGGATGGATATGGGTTATGAAACGCGCGTAGCGGGACCTAGTTTCGCAGTACCTCCGGCAGCAAAGCAGACTACTCCCCAAGGATGACCACCCCCCTATTAGCCACTCTTGGGCTGTAAATGAAGAAACAAAATAGAAGAATATATAAGTGGTCTGTGCTGTACCGATTGATACGCGTATACTGACAGGAAATAGCCCATGATGAGCGACGGAGGTTAGTAAACCAAATCACTTCTCCTATATTGTAGTGGTTCTACGCAAACACATGTCGTCTAGCCTCGGAACGTGAAGATAATTGCGATAAGCATTCGTTGAATTCCTCTCTTGGAGCGCGCGTCTAGCTTACAGCCTGACATGCCTTTCAATAACCTCTTGGGAGGCCAGCCTGTGAGACATGCCAGACCCGGCAAGATACACACCAGACCGCAAATTTCCTTCACGGATAACCTGTGTTTTGTTCGGGCCGAGATCTCTTAATACATGTGATCCGCCATCTTGCCCGATTCGTCCGTTCCACCCCGTCTGCCGATGTTGCCCCATTCCACCAAGACACGCCCTCTTGCGTGTTCCCCAGCAAACTTCTGACTGTCGCGTTCGCACGCCATCAATATCTCCGTCTGCCATCTCTGCCTCCTCCTCCGACTTATCACCGTCGTGAGGGATATCGCGGTCCTGGATGGCGGTGGCGATGGCGACTCTAAGCATGTCTCGAAGCTCGCTGACTGGAATGTGGATGTTTGCGAAATCGTCGTGGGAGTGTTTATGGGAGTCGAAACTGGAAAGAGCTAGTTAGCACAGCTCCGCTGGAAAGATTGGTAGTCACAGCCGACCTCTGGCGAGAGCGGCCGAGCTGGAACGACGGGGGACGGGAACTTTCTCACCACTGGCGAACCTGTCCGTGAGGAACGTCCGACGTATCCCTGACCATGTCGGAGAAGTAGAGCGACAAGCTCGCATCGGCGCTGAACGGTTTCCAGTCCATCAAAATCTTCGCGAAGCTGTCTGGCTGTATTACCTAGACGCCGGCGAAGCACTCGTTGAGATGTTCCAGGATGGCCTCGAAATTGCTGGTTGGGTTAGTAGGGTAGTAGATCTTGAAGCCGAGGACAGCCCGGATTCTGCGACGACCGCGCGTGCCCTCCAGATATCCCTGGCAGACCTTCAGGATTTTGGGGTCCTGGGGTCCGCTGGGGTGGGAGTAGGCAACCTCGGCGACATTAGGAGGGTTCGTCTCGAGGGGGAAACGACCCCACGCAATGTCAGGAACCTTCTTGGATCGCGATTTCGACTTGCCCTTCAGCTCGATATCGGGGGTGCCCCTGGATCGGAAATCCTCGATGAGAGGCTCGGCCGCACCAGTAACCCTGTGGCAGATTGAGGCAGCGAAGTCGGTATGGACGCGTGTTTCGGGCATCTTGAAGGTCAAAAGGCCATCTTCGGCATCGTACTCGAATCGGAGTTGTCGAGATTGCTGCGGAAGGAATAGCGAGCGGCTTGATCACCGTCGGAGGAGAAGCCAGAGTCGGAATCCAAGAAGGAAATGGAAGCGCAAGCTCGAGTGTCAAGCTAGTTTTGATTAAGTCCGAGTTTGAGGTCGAGTTAGCCGACGTCTAGGTTAGGCGAAGGTTCGCTCTGTAAGCGGTGAAGGAGAGCTTCGTACGATTCTGCCGATAAGTGCAAAGAAGGATTTTCTTGATCTGCTGTGGTGAATCGGCCAAGCGCAAGACGGTATGCAAAGGCAAGAGCGTTGTGGAAGGTGTCGCCTTCCCCATTGATTTGGTTTGGCACTATGATTGAGTTGGATGCACGATTTAGGTTGGTGTTTGGGGGCACCGTTTTATCAGCAAATGGCCTGTGTTCATTTGAATTGGTACATGCGCGGATAACAGTGTCTTTGTCGTCCAGATCGCTGGATGTTCAAAGCCTGAGTAATGGGTGAGGTTGATGGGGAGAGAAAGTTGTGGTGAAGGTGGGATAGGGTTAATAGAACGCCTTGAAAGGACGGCAGAAGGCCCCGCCCAGGGAGCTCAATTTACCACCTGTGGCTTGAATGAAGTGCCCAAGAACCCACGCCTGCAAAAAGTCAATGTTGGTATCCCTATTACAGGGTAGTTGGTTCGAACCGTGGGTTGACGAAGAGATCAATTGAACTATATGAATTTCTGCGTAGGTGTAAAAAGGAGGTTCCAACCGTAGGTTGGGCTGGCTACGATAATCGTAAATAGGGCCCCCAATTGGCCCCTGCGCAGTCGGCCGTATGCCGCGGTCGAATTGGACTTCCAATCCGACAGTCACAGAGGTGGTGTAACAACGGATCCGTGTAATGATCTTACACTGAGCATTAGCAAAGATCGCTAGTTATTGGATAATCTCTGACGGTTAGAAGATTTTGTGGCTGCCGGCTGAGTTCCACCCTTTTTGCTCTGCTGTAAAAGGCCCTATAGTAGTAGTACTTGGTTGTAATTCTGGTGTTATGGCTAGACTTTCTGATAGTGAGGAGTCTCCTAATAGAAACTGAGGTATGAAGCTGTAATAGTATCCGTGGTGCTGTAGGTCGAGTACATCTAGAACGGTCTTCAGAAGATATAGTGATCAGTCGTATCTCTAATGTTAGGGTGCAGGGTAAGGTAAGCCTGAAAGTATCCGAAGATGTTTATTAAGTTGATCGCTGAAGAGTTATGGGAGTGTAACGGTTAGTGTATCTGTAACTAGCTATGACGACTACTACGAGTATCCTCAGATGAGGACCAGAAAGGAAAAACAACAAATCTCCGCTTTGCCGTTGGCCTGATCAAGGCCGTACCGCGGCCATCGGATTGTCGGCATCGTAGGTTCCGCGGTGGGCCTGATCAGGGGTAGCTCATGGCCGCGATATCCTGCAAGGCCTCATATGGGCCCAGCCCGTTACACACAGTTGGTCCTGTCATGGCGTAGCTATATTTGCAGAACAAAGGATAATGATGACCGGAGTCATCATTATCGAAACTTTTGCTTTGTGTCACAGTTGGTTGCCTTGACCTGCTCGTAACAATGTTGGGTCGTAACACTCACTACGACTAGCTGGCCGTAACATACCTGGGATTTGATTCCATTCTTCACACCTTAACATCGTAATACCAAAACACCATAAATAGTTCTAAATCTCTGCGCCAGATGGAAGGCATCTAGCAAAGGAAAGGCAATAATGATAGTTCTTGAAAATTTGGTAAACCGGTCAGTGACTTGATTTCCTTCCAGTCCCAATTGCTAGCTTATAAAGTCTAAGAAAAAGATTTCCACATCTTATTCGTACTCATGGATCTATCATCTCTAGGGGCTAATTACAGAGGCGCACCCTGACTTTTGATCTCGAACGGCCTGTAACGAAACGCACCACCGCGCTATGTAAGAGGGGGATTCTTCAATTGATATTCGGCACGTTCTCCTTGTGAACGCCTGCCATCCTTACAGTCGAATCTTTTTCGAGGAACTCAATCACTTTTGTGATCTTGGAACCATTTTCGTTGAAGTACAAGGTGAAACTGGCCTCCGAGGCGAATTTTTCCCCGCTACCTACTACGACCACATCAAATATAGATGTGAACGCAGCGCGGCGAGCTTCAGTGTCGATAACCAAGTTCGAAATGATGCCGTTGCGGAACTTGAGGGCTTTGATGTCTTTAGCAAAGACTTTTTGGAACGTGACATTGTCGATGCTGAAATTTGCCGGCAGACCAAGGACCTCAGACACGCTGGAAGGGAGTATGTGTCGAGTGCAGTCTGGTGTGAGGGTGCGGTTAATGATGGCGGGGTCGTTCTGGACTGAACCGTCTTCGAACGATGCCAAAAACGTTTCTGCAGTAGCCTCAATCACCTTCCTGAGGTCTGATGAGGATGGGGTAGTGGCCATGGTGGTGTGAGGCTATAATCTTTGGAACTTTGTGTGAGTGTGAAGGTAGAATTGAGAGGTGGTGATTCAAGACCAAGGCACAGATGGTGAAGAGGTTCGGCTAGCCTTTATATTCCATCATAATCCGCATTGATACAGGCACCTTAATCTCTGATATTAGCTGGCTGTGACCATTCACATTGACTTCAATACCAATTCAATTCGGGCCGCAGTCATTCCCGGAGATAGCGGTGAAACCTTGATAAAAGCCGTTTCTTTGATGGTGTTCTACAGACGAGCCAGATCGATTAACAATAATCATTTTCTATCCGTACCTACGGGGTACTCCGTATGGATACCGCCAGAAACCATCCCTGGCTCAGACCTAGGTATAACTCGCCGTGATTACAAATTTCCCCTCTTCGGCCTAGCGTGTCTTCTCGCAGGCTTTAAAGTTTAACACAGCCATGATTTCCAACGGCTCCCCTACATCGGTTGGCCCCACCCGATGACCCTTTTCCCGTCTTGAGCTTAGCCTATAGCGTGGAGGTTTACACATGCGTGCCCTTGCCTAGCCCCCACGTTTGACGGTTTGACTGGCATTGGTCGATGCGCGGTATATTTCAAAATCAAAGACCTCGTTTTCGTCGGTTTGGTGACTTTTCTGAATGTCAGTACTTCCCAGTGAGATTTAACAGCAGCGACATACAATCGAAAACCTGGTAGCTACGAAAAATGGCAGATTCCGGTACTTCTCTTCATTCATCGGGGAGTGAACGCGAGTCGAACAGGGTCAGCTGTCACTCCAACCACGCCGACGCTGACGTCGAGGCCAAAGCCAATAATACGCAGCGCAGGAAGCTTCAAAACCGGAATAATCAAAGAGCACACCGTAAGTGTTTCCGCCATAGCCTCGAGAATTGATGAGCTCATAAGCTTGGCAGGGCTGCGGATGAAGCAGCAAGTCTCGATGTCTTCACGGACGTTGTCGCGCCCATTTGAAGTCAGACGCTGGCGCCTCGACGAATTCGATAATGACGCCTCTCAGAACGTCTCGTCAGCATCAGGAAGCGAATCAAAACCTGCCGCCGAATGCGCTTGCGTTATTCAAGGGCCACTGTCGCCCACCGCCGCCAATGCCCAGAAGCCTCTAAACCCCCCGTCCTTCATCTTCCCACTTTCAACCGACCACCTCCTCCATCTCGTCCAGTACAATGTCTTTCGCGCTTTCGTTGCGAACAAACGCACTCTCAACATACTTCTCACAGGCCAAACTAATAAGCCTTCTTCTCCAACCACCTGTCCAATCAGCGGTCCTTACCGTGATGACACTTGTGTCTATCCCCTGAATCCTAATATTCCACCCTGCCTCATCCCAACCCGCCTTCAGCAAATCCGGCTGCATTCTCTGTACATCAATCTCTTTCCATTCCCTCGCTTTCGTGACAATCTAATAAGGCACGAAGGGGAATTTGACCACTGGGAGCTTCTACAAGACCTCATCGGTGAGCTCATGAGCATGACACCGACTCGAGAGCGACAAGGTACCCCCGTCACCATCACCGTTTCCGACCCCAAGCCCAAAGGGACCTCCCCCTTCACCGCAGAATCTCACGAAGATGGCATCACTGCGAACCGCAAGGGCCTCATTGTTTGGGGCGAGCCGCACGACATACGGAGCTGGGAGGCCACCCCCGGCTTTCTTGAGAAGTGGTCGTGGGCAGTGGAGGGATCTGATGACTTGGTTGAAGCTAGTAATTGCTGGAGGCTGAAGAGAGGAGAAGCTCCCATACGTCTCTCTGGACCGAGGAGGTAGCCGCTACGCTGGAATGATGGTAACAAGTACTCGAGCCTTCGTAACAAGAGACACAGTCGGGCGAAATTTGCTGCTCTTGCCGCTACTTATTACCTAGCTAGAGGCCGGCTCAATAAGTCAGAATTTGAGACATCAAGTGATCAATACATCACAAAGATATCACGGATGGTATGTATGTCCCTGGGTATAATTGTGTTATCAATCAAAAAGAAACTACTCGTTGAACTGCATACTGGGGGCCACGTCACTCTCGGTTCCCTACGCCTCGTCAGGCAATCCCACAATCTTAAGCGAGTGACTCCACAACCTCTTTGCCTTTTCTATATCATAGGCGTACGGCGCATATCCGAGCGCAAGAAACTTATTATCTCCTTCAACATACGGCTCTGCTACGGCGCAGTTGACAAGGTACTTGCCACCTTCATGTTTCCATGCCTTGCCCACAGCCGCCCATACTGAAGTTGCGGCACCCTGTTCAATACTTTTCATTGTGGGATACAAGTACTCCATCCCCTTGAAGGCATCCGGGGGCATGTGCTGGGTCAGCCCCGTTTGGACAATACCGGGATGGACGCTCGTTGCGTGTAGGTGACTCGACCCGTAGCGGCGCTCGATCTCGTTAGCCATGTAAATGTTGGCCGTTTTGGATTGTCCGTAGGCCACACTGGCATCATAGTCGCCTTTCTGGAAGTCGTAGTTGTCGGGGTCATTTATTCCATGGACGTTGTGAGCAGTAGACGAGAGATTGACGACGCGTGACGGTAGACTCGGGGAGGCTGCAGCAAGAAGCGCAGGTTCCAAGAGCTTGTAAAAGAGGAAATGGGATAGGTGGTTTGTGCCGAACTGGAGCTCGTGGCCCTCGGCGGTAAGGCGGTGGTCGGGGATGGCCATAATGCCAGCGTTGTTCACTAGGAGGTGAATCTTGGTAGTCTTGGCAAGAATGGCGGCGGCGGCATCCCGGACAGAAGAGAGGCTTGCCTGGTCCATCTTGATGATCTCCATGCGGGATTGATCGAAGATACCAATGAGGGCGGACTGAGCCTTGGCGACGTCTCGGGCTGTGAGAAAGAGGGTGGCGCCAGTGGCGGACAGGGCGCGAGTGGTCTCGATACCGATGCCGGAAGAAGTACCGGTGATGATAATGACCTTACCCGCGAGCTTTCCCTTCACACCCTCGTCCTCGATGATTTTCAGGGCCGTCGGACGCGCGTCGCCAGGGCCATTTGGGTTGGCGTGGGCTTCAGCGTAGCAAGACATGATTGATTTTGGCAAAGGATTTTGAGAGGTTGGTTTGACTGTTAAAGAGAAGAATAAGTCTGGTCGTTGTAACTTGAGTTCTAAAGTTGAGGGAAATTGGTTCACTTATATACTCAAATCACCATGGTCATTTCAGGGGATGACACAACCACTAGGATAGGATCTTACGCTTTACAAATATTTTCCGGCGATAGGAAACAAGTACCACTAATCCCGACCATTCATAGATACTTCAAGTATCATAAATTAGTCTACGCGAAGTCATATTCTGTCCAATTTCTCGTTTTCTTCCATTTCTACGCTGATGTCTGACTCGTGTGATGACAATTTTCCCCCTTTCGGCCTAGTAACTCTCTCCGTGAGTTGTAAGTTGGAAAGCCCAAAAACGAAGTGGGCGGGTCAGTTAAGGAAAGTGTTACGGTGTTACGGCCAGCTAGTCTTAGAGGTATGTTTGCAAAAGTTGAGGCTGCGATACTAAGTAACAGTGTCGTAACTCTAGATAGCTTTCTAGCTATGTTTGTCAATCGTAAGGTAAAGTAAAGCTTTGGTGATCTGGTCGGTGAAGAAGGGATCCAAGGGTCCTGCCTTTTAGTCATCTCGGTGTCGACCGAGCCGACGCTTAGTCCTGTTGAGGGACCACTAGAGAATACTGCTTAAATGCCACTTACGAGGCTGGCTGTATTTAGACTCCTTGCTATTCCCCAGTATTACGACCTAACACATGTTATAAGACTAAGGCCTGCCCTATAGGACCGCAGCGGCTACTACGCTATATATATATAAATATAAACTTAAAATAACTCTTTTTAAAATAAAAAAACTATAAATAAATTATATAACTATAACTTCTTTAAAACTATGTTTATAAATCCTAAAATAAATAAGGCTTTAATAATTAATTATAGTTTATTTAAAGGAGGTTTTAATAAAATACTTAAAAGCGATTATAAATTTTAATATTAAATTAATTATTAAAAAAAACTAACGTATATAATAAGCGAGCTAGCTAGATAAGCGAGCTAGCTACCCGACCGTAACTATATTATATTTATAATTAATAAATAGTACTAAGAAAAGTAAATTAATTAAAACTATTTAGTATTCTCTTTTTTAGATATTTCTTTAGCGATTTAGTATATTTATATATTATAACCGGTATTCTTATAAACGCTATATTATTATTAACTTATTTTAGTCCTTAGCTAACGACTATTATTTTAACGCGTTTCTTTTTTAATCTAAGTTATTACCTCTTTTTATAATTAAAAGTCTTCCTTATTAACTACTATAAGACTTTTTTCTTATTTAAGACGTATTTTTTTAGCCCTTTTACGTTAGCTAAATAAGTTATTCTCTTTTTAAAAGATCTAATACTCCGATTTTAATAAAGTAATTTAGTATATAAATCCTCGCGCCCCCTTTAATAAATATTCTATAGCTTCGATACTAAAATTAGAGAGCTATATTAATAACGGGCAATTCGATTTTTAATAAGTTATAATTATAAAAATACTTTTATTAAGTTATTTAGTATTTAAAAAGTCTAAGCTAGTAATATTATTAAGAGGGATCCTAGAGGCGTTAGAGTATATAACTTTATATTAAGCTTAGATAGTATACTTTTTATATTTAAAAGTATAAGCCTAGCTCTTTTAAATCCTTTTTAAATATTTTTTTTTATAATTACTTATATAAATACCCTATAAAACGTAGAAAAGAAGTCCTTTTTTATAATATAAGTATTATTTTATTATATATTTTTTTTAATTTCTTAGTTATATACTATTTTTAAAAGCTTAAAATATTTAATATCTAAGGGCTATAGTAAATAAAACGAATAAGTTAGTATATAAAGGGTAATAATATTATTCTTTTTATAATATAACTTAAAATCCGTAGAGTAATAACTTTTATATTTATTAATAATAAGGAGGTAATATTAACTTTTTATACGTAGTTTTATATACTATTTAAAATATTTTACTTAATCTAGGCCTTTCTTATTTATTATCTATCCGTTTTTAAATATTATAATAACCTAATTACGTAATAAACCGGATTTTATATACTAAGTAAAGAAGTAATATTTACTTATAATAATAATATATAATAAGATATTATAGCCCGACGAGCTAATAACTTAAATAATTATAACTTATTTATAATTACTAAGTTATATTATTTTCGTATTTAAATACTTTTTAGTACTCGTTATAACTATTCTAACCCCCCGATAGAGCAATCCGCCGGGGCCGTACCGTATATTACGTATTAAAGAAAACTAGGTATATTGCGCTCTATACTTAATTACTAATTAAAATAGCTCCCGACCTTCCCCTACTTCTAACCGTTTAAAGGGCGAGCTATACCTATTTTAACGTATATAAAACCTCTTAGTACTAGCCCGTATAAGTAGTTAAATCCCGTATTATATACTCCTTTTTATTAAAAGTTAAAGGGCCCTTTATATATTCTTTTATATTTATAATATAGCCCGTATTAAAGGGATTTTTAGCTCTATAAAGTATAATTTTTAAATTAATATTAATATACTAGATCTTAACGTCCGTATTAGCCCGGCTATTTATAATATTTATATTATTATTTAGTTAAATTTTATATTATTAAAAGGTATTACGCTACTCTTTAAGTATACTTATGTTAGTTATAATAGCTAGGGCGTTAATAGGGCCTAAGAATCTATTGAGCCTTAGAGGGGGGGACTTATTAAGGGGCATTTTTAAGTTCTTAATAAGATAGTATTTAAATTAGCTAATCTCTTAATTAGTTATCTAACTAGTTATCTAAGTAGTAGTTTATATATTAATAAGTTCGTTTAATAAGTTCGTTTAATAAGTTATTTAGTAAATTTATTTAGTTTAAATAGAGAGTAGCTTTAGGTAATATTAGAAATAATAAAAATAAAAAGAATCTTTACGAGCTCTAGTATAGTAAAAGAGTAGCTAGATATTAGCCCTTTTAGCCCTTTTTTTAAAAACCTTTACGTTATTATTAAAGTTTAGAACCTTTATAATTAAAGAAGGCCGCTTCTAACCTTTATAACTAACCTCTATCGTTAACCGTTCCGGCCGGCGCCGCTACATAAATATATTACTTAGCTTATTATTAATAAGTAATAAGTATTATAACCTAATACGCATAATAAGGCCAGGGCCTCGCCCTATAGAACCTATAGTAATTACTATACTATATATATAAAAATACGGACTTAGGGTAACTCCTCTCGAAATAGAAGAACTATAAATAAGTTACGTAATTATAATTATATAATAAAATAAGGAATAAACGCTTATAAATAAGTAAAATAAACGATTATAAATAAGAAAAACGGACGACTGTTTAGTAAATAGTTAAATAATAATAAATAGGAATATTATAAAAGATATATTTAAAAACGAGATTTATATATAGTATAGACTTAAGCTAGGCTTAAAAATAGACTTTTTATAACTTTTTTAGTAATTAACTTAATATTAAATCTTATAATTATTTTTAGTTATTTTTATTAAGAACCCTTTTTAATAAAACTATAATTAATTACTAAAGCCTTATTTATTTTATAACTTATAAATATAGTTTTAAAAAAACTATTTATAATTATAATACTATTTACTTAGTACTCGTAGCCTTAACTTTTATTAATATACTTATTATAACTAGCTAGCTATAATACTTTAATTACTCCTATTTAATAAGTTTATTTTATAAAAAACTAATTAAATAATATAAATATATTAACTATTAATAATAATAATACGGCGCAACTTATTAAAATAACTATATTTATTATTTAGTAATTATATAATATAATATTTAAACTTAAAAACGAAAATAAATAGCTTTATATTTAACTTATAATACCCCGATTATTCTTAGTACTTAGAACTAAGTACTTTAAACCGGAACCTTACGATAAGTCCTTAAATACTCTTTAAAAATTCCTTATTTAAACTAAGGCCTATTTATATTATTATAAAACCTCTTTTATTACTAAAGCTAATAAGGTTTATTATATAGCTTTATTTTTTAAAAAAGATACCTTCGCCTAGTTTAAGCTTTTTATAAAAAACTATTTTAAAAACGAACGTAACTTTTAGGACGAAAATACTAAAAAAATCTTTAATAATTATAATAAATTTAAGAAAAAACTTAAAAAAACCTTTAGTAACTCTAATAAAGAACAAATTACTAAATAAAAGCTTATAACCTATATATAAAAAGGATTAGTTAATAAGTATATATTTAAATTTAGGTAGATTACTTCTAAGCTTAATTAAGGTAATAATATATTTATAATAGCTTTTTATTATAGTTTAAAAAAAGAAGTTAAAAATAACCTTTTTTAATAAGAACGACTAGATAAGCTTTATAATTATATTAATATAATAATTAAGATCGATAATCGACTTTACGAACGACGCTTTAAATAAAAAGGATAAAATACTTAAAATAACCGAGCTAAACCTAATAATAGACGTAAATATAGACTAACGACTATTATAATAGGGTATTATAGCGGACTAATAGATCTTAGTATTACTAAAAAAGAATAACCTTATTAAAAAAAAGACTTTAAATACTATAATTATAATAAACTAAGATATATAGTTAGAAATTATTAATAACCTAAATATATTTAATACTAACCTATTTTAAAAAAGCGAGCTAATATTATAAATAAAGAAGTCCTTTATAAATAATTTTTATAAACGGCTTATTACGATAATAAGTATCTTACTTATTAAGATAATAAAAAATAAATAAGATAGTACTTAAAATAACTTAAGAATAAGGGACGATTTAGATATAATATTATATTATTTATTAAAACCTTAGTAATATGTTACGGCTAGCTAGTCGTAGTAAGTATATTAATAGAAGTTAAGGCTATGAGTACTAAGTAAATAGTATTATAGTCGTAAATAGCTTTTTTAAAGCTATGTTTATAAGTTATAAAATAAGTAAGGCTTTAGTAATTA